ATTTATCTTTAAAATTGATCTATTTTACGTTTTTTACATTCCTAGAGGTCTTAAGGACTCAAATAAGTGCATAAAACGTCATTGGGCCAAGTTTCAACAAGTTTTGTAACTTGCATCGGATTACGATAAAGCAAATAGGTCAAACAAATCATATTAGATAAACACTTTTTTTTTTTTTTTTTAAGTCCCACTTTTTACGATTGAGCTTTAGGACCTGTATAGTGTTATTTAAAATCAAAATTAAGACTTACTAGTAGTTTTTGGTAGGGCCAAAATTTCATAAATTTCGCAATTTTTAGAACTTTCAAAGATGTTTTAAGCCTATAATATTAACTTACAAGATTGAGAAAAATCACGAGAATCGAATAATGAAAACCAGACAATAAAAAAAAATTCTTCCGACATAATTTAATTCAATATCTCGGTTTTTACTCACCAAAAAAATCTCAAACTATGACATTATTTTCTTTACTCATAACCCTACTACATGACGTAAAACAAATTGCATGGTGTAAAAAACATTTTAGGGGTGGATTTTTTAAACTAAAAATAACCCTATCGTGTCACCCCTCATACATCTCAGCTGGAAGCATATATTTTTAAAATATAAAATGAGCTAGGTATTTTGTTTTTCCTAAGCGAGATAAGAAAATGACCATCGCCAAAATCAAATTTGATTAAGGTATTCGCTACAACCTTTCATTGCGCATTTTTTTTGACATACTTCATTTTTACGTGCGATGCACACTTTTCGAGATATTCACGTTTAAAATTTTCAGATTTGAATTTGCGCGCTTCATTGCATTTTATCAAGGTTGGTAATATTCGGCATACACAAACACACGCGTGTATTTGTAGTTGCATAAGTTTTGGGGGTTACAAATGTAAAAATGAAAAAAAGAACTAGAAGTTTCAGTTTTTGGCTTTTATTTTATAAAAATTAGTACAAAATGATCATTTCTGTGTCGGGAAATAATCAGTATAAAAAATGTTCCATAAAATCGCCACTAACATTAACACCAAATACAGGGCTATTGACACCCACCAAATAATATTCTCCTTTTTGGTAATTTTCAAATTTCTCAAAACACAAATTCCGACCAAAAGCCCAGCCAGGGCCCCCGAAAAGTGGGCCATGTACCCAATAGGCTCATCCAAGTTGGCCCAATACCGGTTATAAATCGAATTGCCAACATCAACTCCAGTTATTAGTAAAAAAATCGCCAATTGAACAAAAGGCATACTCATTTGGCTCCAATTCTGCAAAAAATCATTCATTCCTTGACAAAAACTAGGGACTTTCACCATTATTATAGTGGCAATATGTGCAGTAATGAGCGAGTAAACCCCACCACTGGCCCCAGCCAACTTAGCCTTCGGGTCTGTGATCGACGTCCCGAGAGACCCAGCCACCACTCCTGTGACATAAACCAAAAGGACGCGCCACCAACTGTGCACCATTTCCAGGGGAATCCCTAGGAAAACCTGCACGACTAGATTCACCACCAAATGCAAATAACTAAAAGTCCCCAAGTGTGATTTCCCCACGACAATGTTACCAACTCACCCGATGTGGACAAACATGTAAGTGAGATACCGCCAAGCTTCGTAGCGCCTCTCCGGATCATAAATAAACAATTGTGCCATGGGGCCCGACGCAAACATTGTCGAATTTCTCTCACGATACTCATCAATAAAGAAGAAAATCAATTCGATGACCGAAATTATAACCATCCCCACTTTAGGGGGGCAAAACTTGTACTGATCCTCGTATTCGCCACCAAAACCATCAACTTGTGTGACATCAACAGCCCCCAATTTCCTCCTCGGGAGGATGAAATTCACGTATCTTGTTACGATTTTCCTGAAAAGGGGCTGTGTTTTAATCATGGTAACAAACTCATCGAAATCCAATCTTCCATCTTGGTTTTTGTCGGCCATTTTGTGGATTTGGCGAATGAAGTCTTGCGATGGGGGCTCATCAGTGAGACTTAACCTATCGACGACTACTTCAAGCTCGTGGGGTGTGACAGCCCCATCTTTGTTAGCATCGGCCTTGAAAATTTTACTTTTCATAAAAATAAAACAATAAATTTGGGGTTTTATTTCGGTACTTACCCGGTCGAAAATACTGCGGTAATACTGCTCGGAGGGGGACGTGGGGGTGCGATTGAGGGGGATTTGGGACTCTTGGTCCAGATTTTTCAATTCCAGGTGAAGCGACTTGCTCGTTGCCATTTTTTTTGATCATTGAGTCAATCAAATTTTTTAGTTTTAGATAAGATTAGATATAGGCATTCCCCGAATTGCCAGGAATGTCAAATATTTAATTTTTTATTCAGCTTTCGTGTCATTTTAAAGCAATGTCAGGGAGAACACTAATTTTGTATAATTAAATTGTGAAAGAAGTGGCCTTTACATTGTTCGTTGTTAAGATTACAAAAAAACAATGTGGGGACCGGAATTTCCTATAGATTAATGATGAATCATTATTACAAGGTTACACCAATCGTTTATTGATATAGTGTGTAAACAAACTTTGATTTATTCAAATTTGCCGCGTTTTGTTAGTTAGGACAAAATGGCGTCGATGTTTATTGTCTTATTTAAAATTTAACACAATTTGGATTAAAAAAATGTGCGGGAAGAGAAATCAAACAAATTATAACTCATTTTCTACTTGATTTTTATTTTTAAATTGCCTTTTTCTGGCATTTTTTTAATAGTTTTAGTGACTTAACTTCCTTTAGTTGGTGCTTTTACGTTGGCTACATTTCCCCCAAATTCAAATTCAAAACAATGTCAACGGCACCTAACCTCAAACTTTTATGAAAAACCCTTCAAAACAATGCCCCTTTCGCCCCACCTCCTTCAACGCCTCCAAGAACTGAAAAAATGGCAAGAAAACCACGACGATTTACTCAAAAGTGCAAACGTGACCACAGCTTCGGACTATCAGACCATTGAGGGTCTTTCAGCTTTTGATTCCTCAAATGAAAATTCACGGAAAAACTGGGAAAGTCAGGTAATTTCCCCCACTAAAAGCTTCCATGAGTTACTCGAGGAGAAGCTTGCCTTGGATCCTGGCCCCCAACTTGTGCCCCCGAAACCCAAACGGCCTTTTTTGAAAAAAGGAACCGGTTTGGAGCGCTTTCGGATGAAAAGTCAGCCCAAACTGAGGAAAAAAGCGACAAGGGCCCCGGTGGTGACACCCAAAGCGACTTGGGGGACCCCTGGCGAGCAAACGCTCTACGAGAAAGCCCTCGAGAAAGAATTGAGGATTTTTGAGGCGTTGGAGGAGAAAGCCGAGAATAGTAGTTTCTGTTCAACGAATTCGAGTGTTTTGAGGATTTTATCGAGCACTCCGAGTAAAAATCGGGTCCATTGGGGGGCACAGGACGACGATGGGGTCATCGAGACTGATTTGGAGCGCAAAGACATCGCTGAGATTCTCTTAAGACTGAAAAGTTTGGCCGAGACTCGGATGAAGCCCCCTGATGTGCCTTGTGAGTAGTTTCTTTATTTTTTTTGAACTAATTTTCGGTTTTAGCGATTATTGAAGCTTCAGATGAGGACAAATGGTCAAGCAGTGAGGTCTCAAGTGAGGATTTAGAGGTGACTTTAAGGGGGCCAAAACGCGATATTGGGGTGGGGACTGAGCCAAGCAATGAGTGTGCAATTTGTGGTGATAAACTCAAACGAAAAATAAGCGAGTTTGAGGACAAACTCAAGGATTTAATTGAGGATAAAAACCGGTTAAACGAACTACGGAGACAATTGGAGCAAAAAGAGGGCGATTTTTTGAGGCGAAAGCACGAATTTGAGGACCAGAAGGCGAATTTCGAGTTTGAGACTGACGTAGCGAGGAAAAAACTCGCAAAAGAGAGACAAGCCTTCCAAATGTGTGTTGCATTTAGTCCAATTTTTTTCTAAATTCTTGTTTTAGGTTCATGAAAGAGTCGCAAAATCGCCCGAACAAGAAAGAACGCCAGGAAATAAGCAACTTGAGACAGGAAGTGGCCGACTTGAGTGAAACTCTCAAATTAAAAGAGTCGAAAAATGGGATGACTCAAGCCCGTCTTCGCAACCAAATCAAACAACTCGAAAAGGAAAATTCCCAATTGAAAACCGAACTGGAAAAACTAACGAAAGAAAATGCCAAACTTTCCGCCACACAAAAACTCAAACGGAAATCGGCCGACTCGAAAATCCTCCAAGAAATCAGCAAAAACGTCACGAAACTGACCCAAGAGACGATTAAAACCAAAAGTAGCGAAAAAATCGAAAAAATTCCATCCCTGGACCAGACTGACTCATTTCTGGAAATGGCAAAGCCCCCTCTAGTGGAAGAATACGAAAACACTTTCAAGAACCAATCAGAAACAAGCAATTATTTCAACCAATCACAGGAAACTGATTACCATGACGACGGTACGAAACAAGTGAAGTACCCTAATGGCAACATCAAGACAGTTTCCCCCGATGGTAATTTCATAACTGTCAAATTTTTCAATGGTGATCGACAGGAAACCAATTTATTGGACGGAACTGTCAAATATTTTTTCACCAATCGAAAAATCACTCAAACGACGTTCGCTGATGGCTTGGAAGTGGTGGAATTCCCAGAGTAGGCCATGAAAACACAGCCGACTTGATGTTTAATTTAAATGTTTGTAGGGGCGTAATTGAGAGGCGATTTCCGGACGGTAAGTGCGAAATTACACTACCAGATGGCGCTGTTCAAACAACGCACCCTGACGGCACTTTGGAAACTAAATACAGCGATGGTTCACTTGTCAAAATTGCGAAAAATGGCGACAAGATTTTACTTTTGCCCAATGGACAAAAAGAAATCGAAACAAAAGAATTCAAGGTGAAACAATTGAAAATTTTGACATTTATCACATGATTGGTTTGTAGAGTCGCGAATACCCAGATGGTACTGTTAAAATTTTGCACCCAGATGGTACCCAGGAAACAAAATATGCCAATGGGCGGGTTAGAATTAAGGATTGTAATGGGAAACTTGTCTTAGATACGCATTTATGATTTATTTTACTAATTAATTAAATTATTTTCCGTAATTGAGACGTTGGATTGCGTTTAGGGCTGCGGTGTCTTTGGCGATTTCCACGCTTTCGCCCCATCCAATCCCTAGCAATTTTTTATTATTGTATAGCCCCACTTGGTAATTGGCTAGAATCGTATTGGTGGCCGATTTATTACACAAACGGGGCTCAATTTCAGTCACACCTTTCTTTGATAAAAGCGACGTTAAGTACGCAAGGGGGCTATCAGGTGTCCAAATATCATAAATCTCTTTACCGGTCAATTGACTTAATAAAAAGTCTTTAATGAACAAGTGGGCCCTCTCCTGGTTTTGAGACTCCTTTAAGGCAGCAACTACGGCCTTGAGTGTGTCAGCAAGTGTCTCATTTTCAACCGGGAATTCCTAAAATCATACTAAAAACACGAAAACTCAAAATTTGAGACTCACAGAAGTCAAAACAATGTCTTTGAGCCCCAAATGAACAGCCACGTGTGACAACATATCAACCGATGTCAAATAATCATGAAGAGCACCCACGACGTCTTTTGGGTACTTCTCCCCCAGCTCGGTTTTAATATAATTGGAGATTAAAGCGCCCCCTTGTTTGATTAATTGATAATTACTATCAACTTTCTCATTTTCGAGTCCCTTCTCTTTGGCTTTGTCCTCTTCAAGACTGACATAAGACCGATGTGTTAGGGCTTGTTTCAGTAATTTACGATCAAATTCCTCCCCAAGTCGTTTCCCAAATGCAAAAATTTCGGCCTCGTAATTCCACTCTAAGAAAGTGGAGCGGGGTGAAGGCTCCTCGGGCCCCACTTTATCCCTCCGTCGCTTCAATTCTTTCAAGACGGGGGCCACCCATCGTTTTATTTCGCGAGTTTCTTGAAACGTGAAAATTATATTGAGGTTATGAAATTTGGGGTGAACTTACCAGTAATTTGGGGCGACGTGACTTGTCTGAGGATAAGTCGAGATGCTCGGAGGGCCGCGTAACGACAAAAAGACATCTCATAACAAAAAAAAATACAAGTTTTCAAGAAATATTTTAGTGTTGAGGAGATTGAGGTTATGTCGGGTTGGTGGTGGGTTACAGAAACCTGTAATTTGGTATCACGTTCGGGGGATTAAAAAATTAAAAAAGACAGTTTATTGTGGTTTTGTGAGAAATTGAGGAACACTAAAGACACTTAAGTAGTTGGAAGCTTTTTTTTTATAAATTAAATAAAAAATTGACAGTTGACTAGTTGACATTTGACATAACCTAAAAAGTTGTCGCGTTTTTTTGCAAATTTCTTGGTATTTTCGGCATGTCGCGGGTTGGGGACCCCCTAGTGTGCCTCCCGGGCCAGCGTTTGTGCCTCTCGGACCCCTCCCACGTGTCAGGTCAAGGCACGTACGAACGTGGGGGCTACATCTACTCCACCCTCGCCGGAGTCGTCGACATCATCCCCAAAGACAATATCGAAATCATCGAAGTGCACAGTTCGGGCAAAGAAACCCTCGTGCCGTCCCAGGGGGACATCGTCACCGCTCAAATCCACACAATCACCCAACAATTCTGCAAATGCTACATTAAATGCATCGGAGACAAGGTTTTGGGGCGCCAATATCGCGGGATTCTGCGCAAGGAGGACGTGAGAGCGGCGGAGAAGGACCGCGTGGAGATTTACAAAAGTTTCAGACCGGGAGATGTGATTCTAGCGAGGGTTTTACCCATTACGGAGGCCCACACGTATCAGTTGTCCACGGCGGAGAACGAGTTGGGGGTCGTGACGGCGCATTCCGAACATGGGGGCCTCATGGTGCCGGTGAGCTGGACGGAAATGCAGTGCTCGAGGACGTTTGTGAAGGAGGCACGCAAAGTGGCGAGGGTCGTACCCGAAACGGTCCAAAAGGAAATGAATAAATAAAAAACGCAATAATTTTGATCAAATAAAGTTAATTTTCATTCATTACGAGTGTTTTTATTCCCTGAAACGGCTGAAATCTCCTTTACGCCTGAAGTTATGCAACTAAATATACACACCAAAAAATAATATATTAATTTTATGGCAAAAAAAGTTTTAAAATTTATACAAGAGTCAAGAATTCGACTCATTTCTTTGTAAAGAAATTAATTTTAATTGGTTTCACTTTATTTTTCTGGAAAATAACAATTCAAATAATTTTTGACATTAAAGGTTAGGCAACCAGTAATACAACGATTGAAATTCATTTTAGTAAATAAATCACTTTATTGTCTTGTGGTCTTCGCCTAAAAGTTTGTTCAGTTCATTGAGCTTTTGAATGTTTTCTTTGGTGCTTTTCTTCTTCATCAATTCTTCCTTTTCTTTATTCAAAGTGAATTTGGAGTTTCAAAGTGCGATTTGGGGTATGATGTGACCCCTCGTTCCAGGGTGGAATTTACCGGGGAAGCCGATTTTGGGCAAATTTTAATTTTTTTGGATGTTTGGGGCCGTTTTTGGCGTTTTAATAAGATTTTGAGCCGTTTTTTACTATTTTTTTTGAAAAAATTCGAATGTATAATAAGTCAGTATTATACCGTTTATTTTTTCCATCAAAAAAAGGCTTTAAAATTTATACAAGAGTCAAGAATTCGACTCATTTATTTGTAAAGAAATTAATTTTAATTGGTTTGACTTTACTTTTTTGGAAAATAACAATTTAAATAATTTTTGACATTGAAGGTTATGCAACCAGTAATACAACAACAAATATATAAATACAAATAAATCACTTTATTGTAATATTTGTTAATTCACCGCTACAGGTATCGAACTAATTGTCTAGTGGTCTTCGCCTAAAAGTTTCTTCAGTTCATTGAGCTTTTGAATGGTTTCTTCGGTGCATTTCTTCTTCTTTTTCTTTCTTCAAAGTGAATTTGGAGTTTCAAAGTGCGATTTGGGGTATGGTGTGACCCCTCGTTCCAGGGTGGAATTTACCGGGGAAGCCGATTTTGGGCAAATTTTATTTTTTTGATGATTTGGAGGCGTTTTTGGCGTTTTTTGAGCCCAAAACTAGTCGATTTCATAGTGACGTGTCATGTTATCATTCAGATTGTAATTTCGCGATTCAATAAAAAAAAATGTTGTTTTCCTAGATTGAGCCATTTTGGCTATTTTTTGAAAAACCAAACATCAAAATAATGTTATAGTGTGACCTATCGTTTCACACTACAATTTACTGATTAGTTCAATAGTGACAAAATTTTGAAGTTTTAATAAGATTTTGAGCCAGTAATACAACGATTGAAATTCATTTTAATAAATAAATCACTTTATTGTAATATTTGTCAATTCACCGCTACAGCTATCGAACTAATTGTCTAGTGGTCTTCGCCTAAAAGTTTGTTCAGTTCATTGAGCCTTTGAATGGTTTCTTGGGTGCTTTTCTTCTTCATCAATTCTTCTTTTTCTTTCTTCAAAGTGAGTCGATTGTTGGCATTCAATTCTTCAAATTTCCACGCACCCGTGCCGTCAAATTGCAAAATGTGTGTGTGGAATTTCCTGAAAGAAAAAAAAAATGAGAAAATTTCGCGCCAAAATTCGAATTTTTACCACAAAGTGGGTCGATGCGTGATTGTTAAAAGTGTGATTCCCATGTCAATGGCGGTTTGATAAATGAAGCTTTCCACGTCGATGGACACCGCTGACGTGCATTCATCCAAGAGTGCGTATTTGGGCCTGAAAAAAGCGCTCAGTGGTGCCAACTTTGGCGAGTTAAATACCCACTTGTGGTAGAACAACCGCGCGATTGCCATTCGTTGTTTCTCGCCCCCTGATAAAATGTCAGTCCAGTCTTTGACCTGGTGGAAGGTGTCCCTCTCGACGATGTGCTCCAGGTGCACCAATCGCATGATTTTGCGAAGGTCATCCTCGGTCACTTGCTTGTTGATCATGTCAGTGGCGGTGTCGGGGTATATGATTTGGTCGCGCAAGTTCCCGATGACCATGTAGGGCCGTTGGGGGATGTAGAACATGGAGTTTTTCGGTGTGTGCAATTCGCCCCCATATATGGGCCATAAACCGCTCAAAATGCGGAAAAGACTGGATTTGCCGCAGCCGTTGGGGCCCGTGATGAGTAAATGTTGGCCTGGTTTTAATTCGACGCTTAAAGAGGGGCAAACCACGTCGCAATTGGGGGTCACGATGGGGACGTTCTTTAGGATGATTTCGTTGGTGCTCGAGACGATTAGTTTGCCTGGAAAGGTGAATTTGGAGTTTCAAAGTGCGATTTGGGGTATGGTGTGACCCCTCGTTCCAGGGTGGAATTTACCGGGGAAGCCGATTTTGGACAAATTTTCAAGTTTTTTTTATGATTTGGGGGCGTTTTTGGTGTTTTTTTGAGCCCAAAATGAGTCGATGTCATAGTGACGTGTCATGTCATCATTCAGATTGTAATTTCGCGATTCAATAAAAAAAATTTGAAAAAAATGTTGTTTTCCTAAGTTAAGCCATTTTGGCTATTTTTTTGAAAGACCAAACATTAAAATAATGTTATAGTGTGACCTATCGTTCCACACCACAATTTACTGATTAATTCAATAGTGACAAAATTTTAAACTTTTAATAAGATTTTGAGCTGTTATTTACTATTTTTTTTTTGAAAAAATTCGAATGTACAGTAAGTCAGTATTATATATTATAAGTCAGTATTATATCGCTCATTTTTTCCATTAAAATTTCACCATTCAAAAAAAACTTAAAAAAAAATGTAGCGTTTTTCCGTTTTACGCCATTTTGACTCATTTTTAAAACATTTAGACAGCAAAATAAGGCTAAAGTGTGACCCATCTTTCCACACTGAAACTTACCGATTACTTCAATGGTAACAAAATTTCTAATTTTTTCCGGGTTTTGAGCCGCTTTTCAATATTTTTTTGAAAAAATTCGAGCCCCACACAAATTAATATCGTGACGCTCATTTTTCACTTAAATTTTAATATTTACTAAAAAAAAAATTATTTCCAAAATTTCTTAAGCCATCTTTGCATTTTTTTGAAAAATTAAACATCAAAATAAAGCTAAAGTGTGACCCATCTTTCCACACTGAAACTTACCGATTACTTCAATGGTAACAAAATTTCTAATTTTTTCCGGGTTTTGAGCCGCTTTCCACTATTTTTGTGAAAAAGTTTGCGCCCCACATAAATTAATATCGTGACGCTCATTTTTCATTTGAAATTTTAAGATTTGCAAAAAAAAATTTTTCCAAAATTTCTTAAGCCATCTTGACAATTTTTTTGAAAAATTAAACATCAAAATAAAGCTAAAGTGTGACCCATCTTTCCACACTGAAATGTGCCGGAAAATTGAATGGAATTAAAACTACGGATTTTGGACTGACTCCTGAGCCGTTTTTACCTATTTTTTGAAATTATTAGGGCTCAAAATGAGTAAAATTATGTTTAATTTTTAGATGAACACTTTAGACAAACCTTGTAAAACTATAAAATTTGATTAAAATTTTTAACAAAAATTATATTTTCAGTTTGAGTGACTTTTTAGTAAAATAAACTTCAAAATTCGGGTATAGTGTGACCCATCATTCCACACTGAAACGTCCTAATAAACCTAACGGTAATAGTCTTTTTCAATTTTCGGAAGTTAGAGCACCAGTTTGTTTTTTTTTTAGAAACATTACTTCAAAAGTGTCAATAATGCGGCAACATCTTTTAAATTAATATTTATAGCTACAAAAAAATTTTCATGCAAAAACCAGTAGCCATTTCTGTGTTTTGTGCCGTTATATACTTTTTTTTTGGAAATGTAAAAATTGAAAAAATTGTAAAAATTGAAATAGGGGTATAGTGTGACCCATCTTTCCAGACTGAAATTGACCGGGCATCTCAAATTTGGCAATACAAACCTTTGGCGAGCGGTTGGTCGCCTTTAAACTCAATTTCAAAGTCCCCACACTTCTCCTTTTTCTCCACCAACGTCTTGTGATAAATCCCTTGACTCGCTTCTTCTAAAACCGTGAACATGTTGGCCACTCTGGCCGTATGTCCCGCCAATTCAACGATATCTTTATAACTCGACATTAATCTTTCGACGGCATTTGAGCCCGTAATGAGTAGATTTTTCGCAGTGGTGAAATAATGCGTCCTTTCTGAGACACTATCGTAAACTTCCCCTTCAGCCACTGTTGCCACAGCCGGCTCCTCGCTCAAAATCGGCAAATTGATCAATTTTTTCGCAGTTGGCGCTTTACCCGGCCCACTAGCCAACAAAATAGGCAACGAAACGACGATCATTCCAGTGCCGGACCACACATATTTCATCAAAAACTGCTCCAACATAACAAACCACAATTTCACCCCAAACATGTGCTCCATATGTTGGGCCAAAATCCGGAAGGCGCTCCGCAATTGCGATTGTTCGACCTTGTGGCCCCCATAGAAGGCGATCTCCTCGGCGTTTGAGACAATCCGGGAGTGGACGTGGCGCAAATAGCCCTTTTTTTCGGCCTCCTGGGCCACCAGTTGCCCAAAACGGGGCGAAACCAGTCGCAAAACCAAAGCGGAGAATATTACGACACCGGAAATGATGGCGGGACCGGTGATGAGATTCGCGTTGCGACTTTTGACCAAATTGGCCAATGCGATGGCCATTAGGAGGATATCGAACATGGGTTTGGTTATTTGGCCGTATAAATGCGATACAGTGCTGGCAACTGTCTCGATATCGTCGGTCAAGCGTTGGGCGCAGTTGTCGAGACGGCCGTCGAGAACTGTCACCTGCCAAAAATCAAAATTTTGGGTTTTTGGGAATTTAAAAGTGGGAATAAAGGTATAGTGTGACCCATCGTTCCAGACTGAAATTGTCTGATTAGACGGTTTTTGGCGGTTTTTTTTCTTAAAAAATCCATAGGGGCGGGAAACGGTAAGTTCACGGGTTTAGAGGGGCCAAAAAGTAATTAGTAGTATCAGCCGACTTTATTTTTAAGTATAATTTGCAAAAATATCAAATCAAATTGTCGTTTTTAACTTATCAAAAAATCAAAGTTTTGTTTTTTTGAGAATTTAAAACTAGGAATAAAGGTATAGTCTGACCCATCGTTCCACACTGAAATTGTCTGATTATACTATTGGTCTAGTTTTTTTTGTAAAAAAATGCACAGAGACCGAAAATCGTAATTTTAACGGTTTGGGGAAACAAAAAGTGGTCTCAGACCGCTTAATTGTAAGTATAATTTGCAAAAACACCCAAATCAAATTGTCGTTTTTAACTTTTCAAAAAATCAAAATTTTTTTGAAAAAAAAATTTGAAAATTACGTCTCAGTGTGACCCATCGTACCATACTAAAATTTACCAATTAGTCAATTTCTGGCATTGTTTCGTTAAAAAGTTGCTTAGGGTCTATAAAAAGTACTTCTTAGGTCAATAGGAAATCAAAAAAATACAAAAAAAACAACCAATTTAATCAATGTAACAAAATCCGAGCAAAACACGTATAAAAATTAATTAAAAACTTCAAAGTTTGAAAACCAAAAAATTTTTTTGAGATTAAAACGTCAGATAAATGCTAGAATGTGACCCATCTTCCCAGACTGAAATTGACTGATTAGACGATTGGTGGCATGTTTTCTTCAAAAAAAAGATACAAAAGCCAGAAACGGTAATTTCACGAGGTTGAGAGGCAAAAAAGTAATTAGTAGTACCAGCCGGCTTAATTTTAAGTATAATTTGTAACTAAACTCAAATCAAAATGTCGTTTTCATCTTGCCAAAAAATCAAAATTTTTTTGAAAAAAAAAAATTATTTGAAATTATCGTCACAGTGTGACCCATCATTCCACACTAAAATTAACCAATTACTCAATTTATAAAATTATTTTGATAAAAAAATGCTCAGTCTATGAAAAATACTTCTAAGGTCAATGGCATATCAAAAAACTTAAAAAAAAAGTTAACCAAACCTAATCAATGTAACTACGTGACATAATTTGAGTAAAGTACGTATAAAAATTACATAAAAAATTCAAAGTTTTTGAATAATTTGAAAACCAAAATTTTTTTTGGAAATTAAAACGTCAAAAAAATGCTATAGTGTGACCCATCTTTCCAGACTGAAATTTCCCGACTAGTCGATAGGTAATAATAGTTTGCTTAAAATCGCTACTTACCCTGTAATAACTTTGGTTTTTGAAATACAATTGATACGAATGCTCCACTAGCCTCGTCCTAAAGCTCAACGCAATTTTACTTTCCAAAAATTTGATCATACTATTGATAAAAGTGGCTGGAATCGCAACAGCAAACCATTTCATCAACTGTTTAATAAAATTCTTCGGCTCCTTCCTCACAATATACTTGACAATGGCCCCCTCCAAATTCGCCACATAAATACTCAAAAACGTCCTCAAAAACAGAAAAGTCGTATGCCCTCCCAACAATCCAATTTCGGCACAAAAAACACTCGGTATCATAATCCTCGCCAACTTGATAAATTGCAAAATAAACTGTAGATTGAGTGCAGGGATGGTGTTACGTAATCGGTGCCGTTTCGGCCCATTGCCCTTAAGTCCATTTTGGATAGTTCTCCTGACTAGATTATTGTTGATGTTTACGTCGTTTTTACGTGTTAGAAGAGGATAGGCGACTTTGTACGTGTAGGCAAAAAGCGCAGCGGCCACAACGGCCCCCGAAAGCGCCCTCCGATTCAAATTCAGAGCCGTTTCGCTCTTCGACAAGAATTTCGACACAACCGTCGGCATTTTCACACACCTCCAAAACCATCAAGTTGGCGTTTCCCTACAAAAAAATTGAAAATCAAGACAACTAGATCGCTCGCTTGACCGTGAATCAAAAACTAGTTTTTGACGTAAATTCACTTACGTGACTTCGCAAAAAATGAATTAAAAAACCGATTCGGTTGGGTTTTATACTGATCTTTGAGGCAATTAAAATCAAAGTTTTGTTTTAGGGAATTTTAAAGTGGGAATAAAGATATGGTGTGACCCATCGTTCCACACTGAAATTGTCTGATTAGACGATTGGTCAACATTTTTTTTTGTAAAAAATGCACAGAAGCCGGAAACGGTAATTTCACGAATTTGGAAAGACAAAAGGTAATTAGTAGTAGCAGCCGACTTGATTTTTAGAATAATTTGCAAGAAAAACGAAAAAAAAATCGGCGTATTTAACTTGTCAAAAATCAAAATTTTGGTTTTAGAAAATTTAAAACTGGGAATAAAGGTATAGTGTAACCCATCGTTCCACACTGAAATTGTCGGATTAGACG